CTTTCATGTGAGATGATCCACATTTCAAGCTCTGCTCGAGATCTGGCCGCAAATCTGCTGCTGGAGTTTGAAGGACGTGAAAAATCAGGGCGTCTCCTGCCAACAACTGCCTCCTAACTCAGACAGACAGAGACAGGTGCTGTAACCCCCCCCCCCCCCCCCCCCCCACACACACACACAAATATGCAGACGCCCACTCAGCACACACACTCACCCTGCCAGCATGTCCAGGAAACTCAGTGCTGCACGGCTGCAGCTTCAACAGTATCTGTAACTGTAACATGGAGCGTTTCATGTCAGAGAGCAGAGAAACGACACGATCTGAGCTCCATCCATCTGTACGTTCTGTAAAACCTCTCCTCCTCCTCCTTTTCCTCCTCCTCCTCCTCCTACTCCTCCTCGTCCTGTTTGGACAGCAGCAGCAGACATGGTTCCTCAACACACTCGGACCACATCCATCATGGCGGACTCTATCAGATTTTAGTCTTCACAGAAATAGAAGTCCCCGCTTTGACATCCGCCCCCATGGAGGACCATAGATCTTCATCTTCTGCTTTGACACACTGCTCAAAATAGCTCCAGATCAAAGGGGTCCGACTGAACGTGTGAATGTGCGAGGGTCCGACACACAGCTCAGGAGACAGACCCTCACGGCACGACCCCTGATCTGAATCAGAGGCTTTCCAACTTTAAAAAGTGCTGCCAGGAGAGATAAAAAATACGTTTTTAGCTGTTTCTGCAGGCGTCGGTTCACAGAGGCTGAAAAACATGTAAATGATTTCTCTAAAGCAGAGGTTCTCAAACTGGGGTCCCAGGACCCCTTGGGATCCACAAAACGTGTGCTGGAGGTCCTTTAAAAATTACTATAATTTGTTAATTTTTAAAATCCAAATAAAATAAATGCAAATCGGGAACAATGCACCAGTAATGCAAACTAAACCAAACAAAAAATAATTATTCTTGTGGCGTTTAGGGGTTCAAATAGCTTACATTATGAGAGGGTCCCTGTTAGGGGTCCCCAGACTCATAAGGTTGGAGAACCCCTGCTCTAAATGAACCTTGTTGTTTTCTTTATCAGAAAATAAAATCATCTTAATTTCAAATCTCCACTACAGATAATCAACCCGAGTCTTTACAAAAACCACCATATCTCAGTGAATTTAACAAAATATTGAGCTAAAACTTGATGTGGTGACTGAGAGTCATTCCCATTAAATGATCTTAGTCTGACATGTAAGGAGGTGGGTGATTTTACAATGTTACAAGTGTTCTGTGGGACAATCAAGTTGTTAAAGATATACGGTAACACTTTCTTTTACGGTACCCTTATTACCATGTAATTACAAGGTTACTAAAACAATGTAATCAAATATAATACCTTATTACTATGTAATTACAAGGTTATTAAAACAATGTAATCAAATATAATACCTTATTACCATGTAATTACAAGGTTATTAAAACAATGTAATCAATATAATACCTTATTACCATGTAATTACAAGGTTATTAAAACAATGTAATCAAATTTAATATCTTATTACTATGTAATTACAAGGTTATTAAAACAATGGAATCAAATATACCTTATTACCATGTAATTACAAGGTTATTAAAACAATGTAATCAAATATAATACCTTATTACTAGTAATTACAAGGTTATTAAAACAATGTAATCAATATAATACCTTATTACCATGTAATTACAAGGTTATTAAAATGTAATCAAATATAATACCTTATTACCATGTCATTACAGGGTTATTAAAACAATGTAATCATATAATACATTATTACTATGTAATTACAAGGTTATTAAAACAATGTAACAAATATAATACCTTATTACCATGTAATTACAGGGTTATTAAAACAATGTAATCAATATAATACCTTATTACCATGTAATTACGTGGTAAATATGGTACAAAAGAAAAAACTACTGTTAGTAAAACTACCTTTATTGGGTAACTACAACCAAATTACTATTAACTCAACACTATATTTATAACCAAAAGAATGCAACTAAATTTTGGGGTTAATGGTTAATTGCAATAAAATATAACTTTAAAACTGTCCAAATTACCTACTACTTATTTAGGTGTTACATAGTGAATTGTAATACGTTACCAGGTAAGTGCTACATTACTGCAGACAATTAATTACATTGTAAAATTGTACCCTAATTACCATGTAATTATACATGGTAAAAAGGTGGTAATTTCCCATTTAATTACTTTATTACCTTGTAATTACATGGTAATAAGGGTACCGTTAAAGAAATCGTTACCAGAAATACTGTCACTGTTTGTGAAATGGGATCTGAGGGGTTGCACAGATTCAATGAGACGTTTGTCAGTTTTAGAGGCGTTGCATATTTTTAGACATCGGATCAGATCCGGACCATCTGTCTCTCTGGTCCAGGTCTTCATCAGAGCCAAAGACTTCCTGAAGCTTCAATTAACCTTCTTAAAGTGTCAGATCGAGCTCTGCATCTGGGACTGGCAACCTTTGCCTGTTCTTCTTTCTTGTTTGTTTTTTTAATCGTTCATTTTTATACTGAATGTTAGGAATTAAAACTGTTGATGTTTTCTTGTTTTTCATTTCTCCTGAACATTTTTCAGCACCTGACAACCTCAACAAACTTTCAGCATTTTTAACCTTTCAAGTATTAAATCGTTTAGTTCTTTTTAAAGTCTCACTCATTTCTGTGGATGTTTTAAAAAGATTTCAGTTATTTGAAAGCTAGTTACTTAGCTACAAACTTTAGCTGCTGCTTTGCTACGTTTTAGCTTTAGCATATGTTTTTATTTTATTTACTATAATGCTAAATACTGCATCTGATTGGCTGAGTTTAGCATCTGGTTTCATTTAAAATTACACTCAAAAAACAGATGTGTTGGATTTACTTAAACAAATTATGTCACCTGGTTCCACACAACAGAAATGAGTAATTGTAAAGCAATTTTTACATTTACTTTACAAATTATTGGGGTAAATMAGTTATGTTTACTCAGTTCTGTTGTGTGGAACCAGTTAACATAATTTGTTTAAGTAAATTCAACACAACTGTTTTTAGTAGGGCCGTGTATTGGCAAGAATTTGGCGATACGATACATATCATGACAGAGGGGGTCACGATACGATATATCCCGATGTATTGCGATACTATAAGCAAGGCGATATATTGCGATATATTGCGATTTTTTTGTCCAAAAATTCTATTAAATAAAAACCTCTTACAGGGGAAAAAAATGAAAAAACAAAATTCATTGTCTCAGAAAATTCTAATATTACAGAGACATGCTTTTGATACATTTAGCTGTGCTCTGC